TCATTTTATTTTGGTTTCTATTGCATATTATTATATAATACACAATATTATATATCATTATTTAAAGTCAGTTTAAATAATGCCTATGTGCCTTTAATATCTGTGCAGAAATCCCTCTGCTATACAGCCATTAAAGGTACAGGAACCCTGCCCCTATTTGTCACACAAATTTCACCTGCTGAAAACTATTAAAAGTATAGGAACCTGCCCTTATTTCATTTGGCAATACTACCATACTGTGATCATTTTATGTGTTTGCTGCAGCTGACAAGTATGAGGCACTTGTGTAAATAAGTGAAAGTTGGGGGGGGGGGGAGGGGGAAGGTTGCCAATGGCACCTCATCATATTACCCCCTCTTTGTTGTTTCCCTTCTCTCTCTTCCCTCCTATTTTGTTTTCTACCCAGTCCATGGCTCAATGAGTCATACGCTTGCAGAGGTTTGGTGAGACAGAGCTATTAATTTGGAAACAAAAGAGTCATTTGATTAAACTCATGTCCTTCCCATCTCTACTCAGAAGTAAAGTCCATTGAACCACTTTGTAATCCTCACAATGTTTAACATTGCTTACAAAGTGATGGGTTGTTAATGCTGAATGTTTTTCTCTGTCCCTCTTCATGTCATTCTTTCTTAGTTTTACTCTCTTTCCCTTCCTCTCCCATTCTGCATTTTCACCCACCACTATCTTCAGTGAATCACAAATTTTGAGGGATTTGGGGAGCTTGAAGCTAGTTAAATTACACCAGCATTTTTCTTTTAAAGAATCTAATCAAAATAAGTGAGTGTAGAAAGATTCTTTCTAAAATTTTGGCAAGAACCTCACATTGTCAGACTCTGCCTTATTTGACTACAAATTATCTTCTTGACCCATTTCCATCAGGGATTCCTACCGATCACTCCACTGACATGGCCTTGACTCATGCAGTAAATGATATTTTAGTGCCTAAAGCTCAGATTTGTTCATCCTGATTGATCTTCCTGTAGTCTTTGGACCTCAGCTCCTATAATTACAGTTGCCATCATTGAGAATAATGGGGAACCTTTGGTCCTGCTTCAAATCTTTTTTTGTTTGTTCTCCCTTCATTTGATTTTTGGGTATCAATATCAAAAGCTTTTCCTGTAATTCTAGGGGTGTCACAAGGACCAGTTTTGGAACCTCCCCCCACCCCAATTATATTTCCTCTTTTTATTGTTTTTGTTTTTTATTTTATACATTTAATGTTCCACTCTTTGATGGAAAGGCTCTATGAATGTTGTATTTCATGTTGTTATACTATAATAAATATGTTCTCTATATGTCTTTGGACATCATATTTCTTTATAGGAAATGAGGAAGCAGAGAACATGAAGTGATTCAGCTGTACAGAAAAAAATGTTCTGCATATGATTAGAGGCAGTCAAAACGTAACTGATTATGAATTCTTTCACCTCCAATTTCCCAATCTCTAACATCTATCATCAAATTAATTTTCAAACTTAATATTTCAAGCCCTCCACTCTAAATGAATACATATACTCCCCATACATCTTGACCTCAAAAATTGCTGGCAGTTTGCCGCAATGTCATCTCTCACTTTAGAAATACAGAAGTAATGTCAGTGGCTGTGAGGCCCACACAAGAGCCGAATGTAGCTCATGAGTTTTATGCTGTCTATTCTTGACACAGAGGAAGGGCAAGTTGCTTACTGTGGCTATGTTTCTTTGTGTGGTCCTCTGCAAATTCACACAAATGGGTTTAACAACATCTTTGCTGGTTTCAACGGAAAGCTTTTCCAAGCTCTAACTTTAGTTTTGGTGGTAACCCTGCCCACTCCTCCCCAGGGCATAAAAGGCACCCTGGCCAGCGGCTTCCTAGGTCTGCCCTCCTAGTTTCTTTGTGAGACCTTTTGAACGCAATCCGCATTGAGGATGAGGATGAAGTAGTGGCAGTTATAGAGTGTGTTGACCATATCAAGGAGATCGAGCCTGCCATTGACTCCGCTACTAAAGTGGTCAATGTTTTTGCGGGTCATTTAGATACTATCCTTGCTGTTGATGTCATCAATTTTTTTAATGATCTCAATGCCTGGGAGAGAGTGAGAAAAGGGCTGTCAGATGCCAATAGTGCGAGGGCCTATTGGAAAAGCCTCACCTCCCTATTTTTTCTGGCCTGTTCAGTGAAGGCCTGGCAGTGCAGGCATTCTCTGACAACATGGCTTTCTCCAAGGCAGAGGAGGAACAGCAAAAGGCTGTCCAAGTCAAGGATCTTAAAGGAACAGCTTATACAATGTTTGAAGCGCATGGTAGACATCTCTGGTGAAAAACATAGCTTCCAAAGTAGCTGTGGCGGTGGAAAAAAAGGAATTGGGGAGACACCGGCCAGGGTGCCTTTTATGCCCTGGGGAGGAGTGGGCAAGGTTACTGCCAAAACATAAAATTAGAGCTTGGAAGTGCTTTCTGTTAGAACCTGCCCAGGCACTGTTAAACCCATTTGTGTGTATTCACAGAGGACACAAGGAAGAAACATAGTTTCCAGGAAAATAAATTATGTGTAACAACAGTGGGAGACTGAATCCCTTTTTGCCATTTGCTGACAAGTTTCTATTCATGCTTCTGCTTCTACATGTAGACTGAGAAAGTGTTCAACTTTTTCTACTAAGATTTCATTCATTTTTATGACTTAAAAATAGCTCTACTCTCAAAAAGTCAGACTTGAAATTTATAGTCAAATTGAGTGTATGAATATGGGAAGTAATAATTAAGAATAATGGCCATGTATGTGCAAAGTCCCTTCCCTTCATCACAGCCTCATACACTTAAAATTAATGAGTAGTGATTCCAGTACATATAACACTTCTCTTTTGAGGGAAGGGCATCTCAACATAAATCAAAACAGCATACCACTTTGTTCAATACTTCTTTTTGGATCCCAACTGTTATTCCCATTGGCTAAGCTCACATCCAGGTAAAAATATACAAGAGCTTAAAGAACTTAGCGTGAACTCTAGAGACGGAGGAGAGTGAGTGCTCCAATTCTCTGAATATTTGCTTCTGCCCTTAATGTGCCCATTACTGTTTCCTCATTAATATTCTCCTAATTCTTAAACAAACAAACAAACAAAATGAGATGAAAACAAATGAAATGAATGTTCTAGGGTCAGTGTGAAGTCAATTATATAAATGTACACGTTAGCAAATTGACTTAAATGCACATAATTAATTTGGAATGAGGAAAAACACTGAATTTCCTGCTATAGATTTCCTTCCTCCCACTATAAACAATTGGAGATATATTCTGCTGTACAAATGTTTGATAATACCAATAAGGAATTAGCGGAATCCACTGGAGAAAACTATTACTGATATCCTCGGAACCAGAATTACACAAAGGACAAATAATTAACTAGCGACAAATTAAAAATTGGTTTTCTGTCTTTTCTGCTTCTAATTCCAGCTCTGCAGACAATTTAGCCAAGGGGGCTTCTAGAGGGATAGCTTTTAGTTAACCCCTTCCTCCTCCCAAACAGGTTTTTATTGTAAGAGAAAAGATAGCAAGCAAGAAGGGAAAACACAGGAGGGTTACAAAAGAAAGAGAATGACATCTAGGTTGCTTTTAAAATTATGCTTTGAGGAAGGACAATTCCCTGATAAAAAGCATCTTAGAAGCACCAATCTTTCCACAGCTGATGAATTAAAAAAGTAATACCGCCTGCACAATACATTTCCAAAGTAGAAACTCTGAGTGCTTGACAGAATTCCTATGCTTGAGATGCATCAGCCAAAAACTAGGGACCGTAAAGATGGCTGTACTCCTATAGTGAGACAATAGCAGCTGTGTCTTTGTCTGAATGCAGGTCTCTCTAAGAGGCAGGCTGGAAAAATTAAATGGCTTTCCTTCTGTGCAAACATGTACTTTCCCTTTGAGTCCTGCTCTTCCCTAGTCTCTAAGGACATATAATCAACGTACTGTTAAATGTTAAGAGTTATTGCTGCTGCTGCTGCACAGGACTCAATTAGCATTTGTAGATATACTGGGGGCGGGGGAGTGTAACATGCCATGTCTCTGCTAATTGTTCTGCATTTTTTTTCCTGTTCCAACCTAGCCAATATCTCTTTCTCCAGGCTAATACCTCACATAATCACCGCAATTATCATGAGGGAAGCATCATTGGCAGGTGGTGACATATTAGTTTTCCCTTCCAGTATGTCTGCCAACCCACGTGCCATTCTCAGTCTGTTTGAGGAGGCAGTAACCAAGCCCTGGGTATAATCTTATGTGTTTTCAGGCGTAAAGCCAATGATGTCTTACAAACCATCATTTCTTTGACTGTTTTACTAACCATCATTACACAGGTGCTAAGAGGAGAGATCTGTAGCTTCAAGAGGTAGAAGCTATTGGAAATTCTCTTTTTGCCAGAGATAAGTCAACACCAATGAATCATAGCTCAAAAAGCAAAGAAATGTAGGGAGGGGGGCAAACATATCCTGAAAATTCACATTAACATGTTAGCATACGCAATATTAATTAGTGTTTCTGCAATATTCCCAATCCCCTAAACATACTGGGATGAATAAGAATCACATCTCCATTTTCGTAGCATGCATATTCGAGTTGAATATCACTTATTCAAAAATCTAAAATATTCCAAAACTGTCTAGATGAGTGGCTTCGATAATGCTTTCTGGTGGTTCAATGTGCAAAAACTTTCTTCCATGCACAGAAGTACTAAAATATTTTATATAAAATTATCTTCAGGCTATTTGTACATGGTGAATATCCATCATAAATGGTTTTCATGGGTCCCACTTGGGTCCCATTTCTAAGATGACTCATTATGTGTATGTATTTCAAAACCTTACAAAATCCAAAATATGGAATGATTCTGGTGTGAGCATTTTGGAAAAGGGATACCCAACTTATAACAGATATAGGAGTAATGTAATATAAATATTTTTTCCAACAAGCACAGACACTGGGGAAGGTGGAGAGGAAGAAAGAAACCAGGAACAAGTGAGATTTACCATCTGCTCATCCTCCTGGCTTTCGCTGGAGTCCTCTGCCTTCCTCTGTGGAGAGGATGCATGGGCCACAGCCGCTCGCCTGCCAGGGTCTGTCACCTCACCCAGCCGCTCACCATCTGCAAAAAGAAAAGGCAGATGCAGTTGTTAGGACATGAGAAACCCTTACAAAAGGCCGTGGGGCTTGCCATTACCCCATAGCAATCAAAGTTAGGAGCGCTATTTCAGATACAGGAAGCAGCTCAAACCACTCCAGCCTTTGGGAGGAGACTGGCAGTGACTGATTGCTGAAATCATAGCCCATTTTATCTCTCTACTTTTTCAAACTGAGTCCTAAAAGAAGGTGCCATAGCAATTAATAAATAAACAAACAAAAATAAACTAAAGAATTTTTGGAAATATTTCAGTGCCCATGTCTAGCATAGTCTTTCACTATCTTAATAATCTTCCTGGGTCATCAGTTTGTAGAGCAATAAATATCCAGAGTACTGAAGAGTAGAGACATCACACTAGCAACAAAGATCCACATAGTAAAAGCAATGGTATTCCCGTAATAACCTATGGATGTGAGAGCTGGATCATAAGGAAGGCTGAGCAAAGAAAGATAGATGCTTTTGAACTGTGGTGCTGGAGGAAAGTTCTGAGAGTGCCCTGGACCTCAAGAAGATCCAACCAGTCCATACTTCAGGAAATAAAAGCCTGATTGCTCATTGGAAGGAAGGATATTAGAGGCAAAGATGAAGTACTTTTGACACATCATGAGAAGATAGGACAGCTTAGAGAGGACAATGATGCTGGGGGAAATGGAAGGAAAAGGGAAGAGGGGCCAACCAAGGGCAAGATGGATGGATGGTATCCTTGAAGTGACTGGCATGACTTTGAAGGAGCTGGGGGTGGTGATGGCTGACGGAGCTCTGGCATGGGCTGGTCCATGAGGTCACAAGGAGTCAGAAGCAACTGAACGAATAAACAACAACAAAAAATATCCAGAGAGAAGTACAGTGGCCTGAGAGGTTCACTATTACACTGTAGATAGGATTTGAATTCAGAACTCTCCCTAGATATCCTTTGGCAAGTCATATTATCTCAAATTTAAGAGAGAGAAAAACAAAACCCTTCTGAACAAATCTTGTCAAGAAACCCCAATAATAGGATAGCCTTAGGATTGCTATAAGTTGAAAATTACTTCCAAGACACATAAAAACAACAGCAACAGCAACTCAAAGCCCTAAACAGCCCTGGCCCAGTTTACCAGACCAAATGCATCTCCCTCTATGAATCACCATAGAAATAAGACCTTCCAGGGTGGCCCTGCTCTTGGTCCCGCCATTGTCATAGGCGTAATTGGCGGGGACAAAGAGAGAGGGCTTTCTCAGCTATCCCCCCCCCCCATGGAATTCCCCTCCCTGGTGAGATTAGATCAGCCCCTGTCCTCCTGTCCTTCAGAAAGATGGTAAAAACTTGGCAGTGGAACCAAGTTTTTGGGACAGTGCAATAAGGCAATGTTAGGAGACTTTACCCTGTTAACCGGATCTGGTATGGCTGATTTTAAAGTGGAGATAATTGATTTTAGTGTTTATGTATATTTATAGTTTATTTTATGTTTCGGCACCGAATGTTTGCCATATATATGCTGTGCTCTGCCCTGAGTCACCTTTGGGGTCAGAAGAGTCGAATATAAATGCTTTAAATAAAGTAAAAATAAAATAAATATTTAGAGTTGAAATATCGGCTCTGCAAAGTATTTATTTTATTTTATTTATTTATTTACGATATTTTTATCTCACCCTTCTGAAGCCCGAAGGCGACTCAAGCTGGCTTACAAATTGGCAGCCATTCGATGCCATAACAGTCCACAATATACAGTTAAGACATTTAAAACAACATTATAAAACAATATAAAAACCATTAAAACCATATAGTAACCAATGTCTTCCTGTTAATACATGTTATGAATACATTTTATGAGCTCCCTGTAGCATTAGAGCTATTATAATTTTGTCACTGGGAAACTGTGTGTACATTTTATTTTGTATGTATTTTGCTGTATTCGTCTTACAGCAAGTTGATATTGTGAGCTCTGTAGGAAATGTTGCACAAATGTCATTTGCATGCAGCCTGTCAGAAGTGACAGGTGGCAGCACCTACCCCACACTCCTCATGCTTTCAGCATTTTGTGACCTTTTTAAAAACAAGAACGAAAAGGTAAAAGGTTAATTCCCTCCTCCTCACCCCAAAGATTTCTTAAAGGACGAGTGCTCCCTAGGGTCTGCCTTTGAAGAAACAGATCCCTTTTTAAAAGCAAGAGTGGAAACAAGGCTACTCTCTTTCTCCTCAGCAATGCATCAATGCATCACCACCACATTAATTAGCTTTTCATTTTATTTTTGAACAAATTACTTGAAGGTCGTGCCCTGCTTTTCTCAGTCCCAGGATGTATGTATATCTCTCTTCACTGGGAAGGACAAAGTGTATGTGTTGGGGAAGAGGGGAAGAGAAGGGATAATCAGAGTCTTCCTGCAGGAAAGCCTCAATCCTTCACCCTTACACTGATGAGATGAAAGCCTGACGATTAGGCTACAGGTACTTCACAGGCACAAGGATGGATATAGCACTAAATCAACCAAAGGCCCTGAAAGGTGCTAACTTTGGAAAATTATGAGTAAGATAAATATGAAAGCTAAGGAATAAGACTGTTCATATCCTAAGGGGGGAGGGGTGCAGGGAGGGCTTCACTTGAACTCTCTCCCTAGTTAGGAGATTGTATCAACCCAATTAAGACTCCTGGCTTTATTTTCTCATAAGCTTCCTTGCATCTCTGGTGCTGGCACATGAAGCCTTGAATCCTAGCAGATAAACTAGCCTGGCTGGAGGGATTACAGACACTGCAATTATTAATGAAAAATCATGATACCATCAACTTCATGTAAACATCCACTGCTTAGTCCAGTCTCCCATACCAGAAAATGCCAACGAAGCACCATGTGTGCAAAAGAGCTTATTCCTTCGCTAGGTAAACCGCCGCCCTTGCTCCCCCCTCTACTCTACCACGATTTCCTAGTCTACCTTAGCATTTTATAACAGCACCTGCTCAAATCAGGCTACTCCATCTTTTGTGCCAAGTTTCACAAAAAAGTAGTGCCCATTATAGAATAATAAAATTATAGAGTTGGAAGGGACCATGAGGTCATCTACTCCAACCCCTGTCATGCCAGCACACACAGATAACAATCCTTCCTGTTTAAAAATCTCGAGTAGGAGACTCTACCAGACTGCAAGGCCACTGACAAACATCTCTATACAATCAGGAAGTTCTTTCTAATGTTTAGGTGGAATATCTTTTCCTGTAATTCTGATCCATTATCCCATATCATAGTCTCTACAGCAGAAGAAAACAAGCTTGTCTCCCCTTCAATATAGCATCCTTAGAAATATTTAAACATGGCTAATGTCCTCTCTCAACCTTCTCTTCTCCAAGCAAAACATATCAGCTCCCTAAGCCGCTCCTCATAGGGCTTGTCTTCCAGATCTTTGACCATTTTGGTTGCCCTCCTCTGGACACATTCCAGTTTGTCAATAGCCTTCTTGAATTGTGGTTCCCAAAACTGGACACTACATTATTCCTGGTGAGGTCTGACCAGCACAGAATAGAGCGATACTATTACTTCAATCTAGTTACTATACTATTGATTGCATTGGCTTTTTTTTTTGGCTGCTGCTGCTGCAGCATCCTATTGCTGATTCATGTTCAGCTTGTAGTCTACTAAGACTCCTAGGTCCCTTTTACATGTGTTCTTTTTAAGCCAGATATCCACCATTCTATATCTGTAGGAGTAGGATATACAGCTATTCACTGACAAATAAAAACTTTCAAATATTTGCAGATGGGAAGAATTCATTTTCCCAGTACTTATGCAGGCAACGTAGAGTCATTCCTATCTTCATCAGGATTGTTATGAAGGCAATGTAGAATCATCCCTATTCTTCATCAGGATTGTTTTACAATATACCAATGGGCAGAAAGAAATGCTAGCTTCATGCAGCAGTAAATCTTGCCCTTGAATGCTCACAATTAAGGACCAAGACCAAGAATTAATGATGATGATGTTTAGAGCAGCACATGCAGTAATAGCTTGGGGGTAGAAAGATAAAAAGAAATGGACACTTGAAAAATGGTATGAATGTGTGTGGGACCAAATACAACTGGATATCATGGACATTGTAAGAAGCAATAAAACATGGTCAGACAAACAGAAGAAAATTAACAGATGTTCAGGCTGTTAAACCAGATGATGAAAGCTGAAAGAAAACATTGGATAGAATGGAAAGAGGACTCATGTAAGGGGGGGGGGATTAAGTTGTTAACAGGGAAGGAGGAGGGGTAAGTGTGGGAAGGGAGAAGGGAATGAAAAAGGGAGAAAGTATTGTAATTACAATTAAATACTTAACAGTTCCAATGGTGAAATAATACGGTAGGATAAGATAAAAGACAAAGGTGGTCAAGGGAACTGGATAGCATGGTTAGGCCTGTCCAGTAAAGCTCAGGCCATGAAAAGAAGAGAAGTAGCAGAAACCCCACTAGACAGAATAATTAAATGGAAAGTAGAAAAAGACAAAAGGAATTATTGGGCTACTGTATGAGGAACTAATCACCTCAACTTACAACACAAAAACAACCCTTATAGAAAACTGGAAACAAGAAGAAAAAAAACTTGGGGGGATAGCTTCATTCTCCCACATGTGGTGGGATTCTAGAAAAATCCAGAACTATTATAGTAAAATAAGAAATGTAATTGAAGAAATAATAGGGGAAGAATTAATGTGGGATAAAGCCAGATTCATGTCTCTCACAATAAAGACAAAGGAAGGTAACAATAACTGGACAGAAATCCTAAAATATATGACAACCTCAATACAGGCCACGATAGCCTAAGGATGGAGAGACAACACAAGATGAGATTTAGAAAATTGGTGGGCTTATCTATCGGAATATATAATCAATGATTACATCAATCAAAGGAAAAACAAGTATATAAATAGTCATAAAGAACAAGACTGGTTCAGGAAATGGTCTGTGCTAATTGCCAAAATAGACGGAGACAACAAATATAGCATTTTG